AGTGGCGTTGTCCTGGTCTTTCGTATCCCCAACAACTTCCAACATTCATGGAACACAGCTGATTCAAAGTTACGGCCTTGATTCGAATGCAGTTTGTATGGCATATCAAATCTGAAGAAGAAATCACTAATAGCCGAAGCTACAGTTGTAGCTTCCTGATTTGGTATTGCATATGCCTCAGGCCAATTGGGGAAATAATCCATCACCACACAAAATGGTGGTCCCAGTTTGCTTATTTTTACCGTAAATTTGCTTAGAGTTTTTAAAAACAAAAACCATCAGCGGATTTATTTGGAGAAAGATATAAGGTGAAGAAGTTGCAAAACTTGAATTCAACAACCTTAGCAGCAGCATTAAGTAACTGTTTATGTTAAAACTGAGGCTATAACTGCAATTACTCTAAATGTATAATGAAACAGCAATGAAGAATATGTAAGTAAAAAAAAAAAGTTTAAAAGTTTTTACAAATGGTCCCTGTTTTTACTGAAATGGAATGAGTTTTGTACTGCATCATATATCGAATTATGTATATTAAAATAGTATTAGTAGTGTTATTAATGATTGTCTTATAACTACATGGTAAAGTGTTTATAGTGCTACTTATTATTTTCTAAATTAAATTCTTATTGAGTAAAGTTGTATCTTGAAATAGACACTCGTTATTTTTTGTATGAAATCGGAAACATGATAGTATTAGTAACCGTTGCTAAACTTAAAGTACCGGTGCGTATCGCTGTACACGTAGACTGTACAGTGGGGTGTATATGATAATATTAATATATTGCATCGTATTGTTAATCATCGTTATTCATTAACTTAAACATTAATTCACTTTATGTTTTTACCTGCAACTGTTAAAAAAGTGAAATTAATTACAATACCGATAGTATTTTCCTCTTTTGTTTTTGTGTGTAAGTTGTAAAAAAATATTGGGGACCGTATAGCCTATATAATATAGTATAGGTGTAACTGTACATTGTAAGCTAGTTACACTGTAATTATTGTAATCAAGAAAGACGTGTAACTCGTAAGTAATTTGGTGTATAAATAACATTGGAAAATGTCGATAATTCTAAAGTTAAATTCAGTGTAACTGTTTTGTTAGTGAACACGATGCTTCAACACTACTGAAGTGAAACAGATACTGAGATAGCCTTCTCTGAGTGTAACTTGTAAGTGTAATTGAATTGTGTTCTAACATTATTAAACACGTATCTGTGAAGATGTAGCCTAGACCTAGCTATGTTATTCTTCATCAGAAGTTTTAAACTTGAAGTTTGGGAGAAAAGATTCTAGTTGCAAAAGAATATATAGCCATAATTTAAAACGAGTATAAATATTTGAATAAGACATGGTTTTCTATCAATATGTTGTATATAGATAGAAAATAAATTGTTTTAATACAGCTATAATTAAAATATATTTAAGAAAGAAGCTAATACAATTGTTGTTTTTGCTTCTAATTATGTTGATTTGGTACATCTTTCTCTTTCATCAGAGAACATTGCTGAATAAGGTAAAGATAAAAAAAAAAAGCAGTAAGATTTGTACAAGTGATCTTAATTAAAAGTATTTTTAGTTTATTGTTAAGAAATTGTAATTTGTTTAATGCATAACAGATTTTTTGTCATATTAAAAATGGTAATACATGTAAGTAGACTTCATTCAAGAAAAAAAAAATCATGAACATGTGCGAGTCAGAATGATAACTGTCAATAAGATAATTTTTTTTTTGCCCTGGTAATGTTTATGCATTTTTTACTTCACAAGTTACCTTAGTTTATGCTAAGTTTTATACATTTTCACTGTCAAACTTTACTGACCACCAGAAATGTTGCAAATGAAAAAATATTTTAAATACTTTGCTTAAAAACAGTTCCATTTGAAAATTCCAAAATATCTCAAAAACAACTGACAGCAGTTGTGAAGATTTACATAATTACCAAATATTTCTTTAGAGGGATTATTTTACAGAGACAGGTAAAGGTCTCTTGAGAAAAGAAAGATAGGTGACCTTATTGAGGTTTACAAGATTATTTGTGGGATTGATGAGATAAAGGCTTCTGATTTCTTTGTGCTATATTCTGAAGGTAAGAGTAAACATCTTTATGATTTGGAAAAAAAAAACATGCTAGTGTCAAGTTTAACAGGCAAAATAATGAAGAACCAAATGTTCCTTTGTAGAACTGGGAAGTTAGTGGAACTTAATGACAGATTAATCATTGGGCTCATTAATCAGTTACATATAATTAATTATTCTCGCATGAAGCTTGGACAGTTGGAATAATCAAAATAGTAATATTACTTGATTATTTTTGTGACATTAATTAACGTAATCATACTTTTGATTAATTTATTACTTTATGTGACACTAATCAGTGTAAATTATGCTTGTAGATAATTAGTTATCTCGATTTAACCCTCTAACTCAAGTCCCTTGTCCATATGTTATGATAAGTAAAAGTTGCAGCTAAATACAAGAGAAATTCTGTATAAGTAACATAGCAGTTTTGAACAGTGAAAAGCAGTAACCCTTGAGCAGTGATCAACTAATTGCAGTAATTTTTTGTTCTACAACCACTAGATTCCAACACTTAACAAACAAGAGACCTAAACTGTAGTCTTGTAACTTACTGGCTCTTTCCTGAGCCTCCACTCTTTGTAGGTTTTATTATATTAGCAGTCATTAGAAATTAAACAGAATCTGAAAGCTGGTCACTGATTTTTATATTCCATCTTATGTGTTTCTCAGGTAACACGAAGTGTAGTTTATTTATCAAACTTTGTTATGTGTTAGAGAACAGTAATAAAAACCTAAGGAAAATTAAGATATGCCTTGGTATCATAAATGCCAAACCATTTGTCAAGTTGATGAGACAAGAAAAGTTCCCCTCCATATCTATGCTGGGTAGTGTTTATTATTGTATAATCTCCAGATAAACCTTAACATCTTATCAACACCAGATGTTAAATGTCTGTATTTGCTAAAAACATTGTCTTCAATAATTTGAATAATTACTTGCAGCAAAGTGTAAAAACAACTTACTGAAAGTTAATAATATAAGCCTCTTATTTATTCAGCCTCAAGATATACTCTGTTCAGAGCAAATACATTTTACCATCTTGCAATTAACATACAGACAACAAAGGATCATTTGATATATCAACACTGTCTTCGTACATCCACCCTTGGGAAAAGTAAAAATTCAAACCCACCTTTTATTTTTGGGAAATCATTGATTCATTCATTTAAACTTTTGTAAATTGCTAACTTCCATTACTGCTGGTGGCAAGTAATTCAATAAACCAGTCACAATGTCTCATAATTTAGATTGTATTTACTACAGTCAGGCATATTTTCTCCAAATTTTGAACTTGTGTCTTCGCATCTTATATTCAGGAAATAGCACATAGAAATCAGAGGCCTTTATCCTATTGATTCCCAGAATAAACTTGTAAGCTTCTAGGAAATTACCCCTTTCCCTTCTCAAGAGAAATAAATTAAGATTTCTTATCTCTATAAGACAACCCTAGCTTTTCTGGAATCATCTTAGTTAACCCTTCAATTTTTTCCAATAAGTCAGTACCCTTCCTTAGATCAGAAGACCAAAACTGTACACAGTCTTCCAAGTGAGGTCTGATTAATGATTTTTATAGAGCTATTACTTCTTTTTACACAACAAGCAGAAGTTCTGTGTCATATCTTTGAAGAAACATCTTGAAAGGTTTAAATTGTTTATTTATGGCAAACAAGATTTCTGTTGGTGATTTTCACAATATTTTCTGTTTATGGTACCTAGTAAATATAACTGATTTTCACCCAAGATGCAACTAGCAAGATGTCAAAAGAAAAACAAACTGCACATTATATTTAGTTATAATGTATTATTCCAAGCTAGTACAATGCTTACCCTGATAATTTTTAATTTATAGCTACAGACGTTTGGACCAAAATGTAATAGCCAATCCAAGCATGTAATTTAAATGTGAAATCAACAAATAATTAAAAACTACAGAAAGTATACATCAAAACAGTTAATGAATTCTTCTTGTGAAAAAAGTGTAACAAATGTATGTTAATTTCAATATTTTAATTTATTGTCCTTTTATAGAAGACAAACAGTGTAATTTGGTTAACAGAATTATAAGTACTTATAAGTACTATCAAATGTACATTTTATTATTATAAATGTACATTTTAATAATTAAAGTATATTTTCTTCTCAAGGGTCTTAGCATGATCTTGTGGTTAAGATGTTCGACTCATAAGCTGCAGGTATTAATCCCATTAGATGCTCACCCTTTCTGTAATTGAGGGGTTATAATGTGACAGTCAATCCCATTTATCATTGGTAAAGAGCAGCCAAGGATTTGGATGGTGTTGACTGTCTGCCTTCCCTCTAGTCTGTCACTTCTACATTTGGGATGGCTAGTGCAGATAGATATCAACAAACATTTTCCCTTTAAACATATGAAAAGCCTTATGTTTGAAATAAAAACTTTGTTGCCAGTTTTACAATTTGCCAAGTAAATTTTTTGTAACTATAAGATTTGGACTTGGACTTACCTTTTTTCACTGCTGAAGCCAAAAGCATAAAGATTTCCGATTTTGTTACCAGTTTTCAACAGTGATAGTTTGTGTATAGATCACCCCATTATGTCCAAAATTGGAAATTTGATTTTTTTTATATATCATGTTCTGATCAGAAGTTAATATTAATTTTGTATTTATAACTTTGTTGTTTATGGTAATTAAACTAATAATTTCCTTGACTGTTTACAGAAAAACTAACAATTAATGCTTCTTGACATACAACATTCTTTTTATGAAACTTAGACACTTATTGATCAGTTCACCAACTAACTTGATGTTACAACTTGATTGACTGAATGAATGATCAGTAGCTTGTTTATTCAATACTCCTTGATAACAATAGCAGTAATTATGGTTATCACAACAAAAGTATTAAACTGTGATTAATCCAATAATTAGACATCAAGTAACTGGTGGAATTTGCAGCTGTGTAATGACTCTTGTTTCTTACATATACAGTGATAAATATTATTGAGTATAAGACCAACAACAATAGAATTAAATATCAAGTTTCAAGCTAGATATGTGAATTTCTTTTTTCAAAAATAAATCAATCCTTTTTTTAAAAAAAATAATCACCAAAGTCATAAAATAATCACAAATGTCAAAAGTGTCGACTGACAGGGAAGTAATGCTTTTAATAGATTGTACTTTGAGAGGTTTTTTGAATTTTTCATACTTTACTTATACTGTAATATAATAAATATGTTTTTATTTGTACAGAGATCTCTTATAGTGTTTTATTGTTAAACAACTACCGAAGAAGGTAGAATGAAGATTGTGTTTCTCCATCCTGATTTGGGTATTGGTGGAGCTGAAAGACTCGTAGTAGATGCAGCATTAGCTCTGAAGTCCCAAGATCATGAAGTCAGTTTTGTCACTGCTCATCATCATCCCAGTCATTGTTTTCAGGAAACTAAAGATGGAACTTTCACTGTGACGGTAGTTGGAGATTGGATGCCTCGGAGTTTGTTTGGCGCATGCTATGCTTTGTGTGCATATGTTCGAATGATAGTGGCAGCTTTTTACCTGGTGTTTTGTAGTGGCTTAAATCCTGATGTTATTTTTTGTGATCAGATTTCAGTTTGTATCCCTGTCCTTAAACTAAGTAAGGCAAAGATTGTCTTTTATTGCCACTTTCCTGATCAGTTGCTGAGCCAGAGACAAGGTTGGTTGAAGAAACTCTACAGGGCTCCACTGGATTGGTTAGAAGAATGGACTACAGGAATGGCACAAACTGTGTTGGTCAATAGTAAGTTTACAGGTAAAAACTTAACTGGAATTTTCAAATTTTCTTTTTCCAGTGTATTAACTATCTTCTACTTGCCTTGCTTGAAAGAGTGGGAAAGTACTGTCACTTGAGAGTACTTGAATATAACAAAATAGAAAATTAGAACTCAACCAGGGAGGTAGTGCATATGTGTGCGTCATATAATTTTTTACGAAGACAATATTCTAATACAATTGGAAATTGACTTGGTATAATCAATTACCTGTCATCATCAGTTAGTGACACATTAAATAATTGATTAATCAAAGTACAATTAAACTTATTAAAGTCATGAAAATAATCAACCAATTACTTCTGCCACTGAAAGTGGAAGGAGGTTGTTTTCACCCATGTGTGTGTTTAGCAGCAAGATTTCTCAAAAACAACTGAATGGATTTGGTCAAAAGTTTGTATACCTTTGGACTATGACCCAACCTAGAAGTGCTTAGTTTTTGGAGGGTCAAGGTCACAAAAATCTAAAAAATCCTTATCTGTTAATATGGGGGACCAATTTTACACAGAAATGATTGGATTTTGATGAAACTTGGTGGACATATGTAGAATATTATTCTTCATTGTTTTGCCAAAAATAGTTTGTGTCTGTTGATAATGACAGATATGTGGACATATTTTCGTCTTTTTTTGAGAGCCAAATATGATCAATGCTCTACTGAGTGCCCCTCTAGTTATAATTAAAATTTTCAATTATTCCAACATCTAAGTAACTGAAACATCACCATTATGATTTCTCATCATTACTTTTGATTAATTCAAGGTGGTTCAGTTTAATAAGTTAGGGTCACAACTCATGAAAATAATCAACTGATTGGAAGAAAAAGTTTGTAAACTCTATGAAAATCACATTTTCAAGAGAAACTTAGTTAAGAGATTTTAATCTCTTTCTATACGATAGCATTTCCATCTCTAGAATCATTCTAGTAGCCTTCCTACAAAGTCTTTTCAATAAGTCAGTATCCTTTCTTAGATAAGGAGACCAAAACTGAATTTGATATTGTGAGGCCTAACTAATGGTTTGTAAATTAAAGAGTGGCTGGAAATAAAGTCAGAGAAGAAAAAGTCACAAATTTTGTAATACCCAAACATAATGTAAAGTAATAAAACAAAAATAATTTTAAGTTGATTATTTATTGCAATAATAGCATGATGCATGATATGTAACATTACAACTTTTCAGGCATATATGATGTCAGTCATCACATGAATGAATGGAATAATTCAATAATCTAACTTCTATGAAATTAAAAAATATAAACAAATTTTCAAATTGTGATTTTTTCCCCTACATTTGTAATAAATAAATAATTACCACTTTTGATGTGTAACTGGTATGTGACATGTGTTTATAAATATATGCTAAATTTCTATTAGCTTTACCACTAGTAGCTTGATGGGAAGGCCTTTGTTTTTTTTCAGTCGTGCTACTGAGCAGATTCTCTTCTTTATTTACCTTGTGATCTAAATTATGATAATACAAACACTTTACCTTAAACGTATTGTAATTAAAAGTCACTTGCCAAATATTTTGTACAACTCTGTTATTAATACTTACTCTTAATTCTGATTTGTAAGTGATTTAAATAGAATTGATTACATTTACAATCCACTTACTGGTTCGTACGTTAACAGTTGTTGTTCAGGAAGTTAAAGGTATTAATAATGTCTCAGCTAGCCTGATATTAGATGAAAGGTTTCTTTGGAACTGGGTATGACAGATGTAATGTGCTTGACATATGATATGAAGTAAAAGTCAGAAAAAACACACTTTTATTCTCAGGTAATAATAAAAATTAAATATTTTATTCAATGTTTCACAATTTCAGCTTTGTCAGTGCCAGTGGTACAAACCTTGATGGTAAAACATTGATGGAAATATAAGGTTTCTTTTGTTACTATTATCTGGAGAGTAAAGGTAATTTTTCTTATAATTTTATTGCCAACATGTTGAAGTCTCTACAGTATGCGTTATAAATTCTAAAATGCAACATAGTGATGTAACATTTTTCTTTGCTTTCACTCATGTATTCATAGAATTACCAATTGATCCAACTCATTGTTTGGTATCCATTATCCTCAGTACAACTAGAAATACCCAAAGCTTTAATGTCATCCACATATTTTACTGATTTTATCCCTTTGAATATCATTAATGTAAATAAGAAAAAGCAAATCTCTAAGCACTGACCCCTAAAACACACTACTAGTAATAAAGGTTCAGTGTGACTAGTGTCCATTAATAACTTTTTGCCACCCTTCAGTCTGTTTATTAGCATTTTGTCAACTCCCATTAATGTGATTATCTTAGCTAATATTTTGTATGGTGCCTTTTCAAAAGTTGTTTTTAAAATACAGTTCACACCCTTTTCATCTTCTACATATTGATTAATGCCATAAAAAAAAAAGCTAAGACTTTCCTTCTAATGAGTCCATGTTGAGTTTCTTTTATGATATATTTATTAAATTATTTTTAAAGCTTTTATGAGACTCTAGAATTTTAACAATATAAAAGTAAAATTAACTGGCCTATAATTTCCATGGCAACTTCTTATCACCTCTCCCCTTTAAAAATAGGAGTAATGTTTGCAGCTTTCCAAATTTCAGGAACATGTCCACTGTTCGTTGACCTATCAAAAATGATGGAGCCTTGCTTAACCTTCTTTAAAACTCTGGGGAGAATGTTGTCTGGTCCTGTTCCTTTATCAATTTTCAATCTTTTTACTTACCATCTGCATGATTCAATTTAATTCCAATATTTCCTGTAAAATGTGAGGAATATTGCTAACATTAACTCTCATAGAAAAAGAAGAGAACACTTATAATCTCAGCCATCTCATACTCTTTGTCAAAAACATTGCTGCCAGTATCTTTTAAAGGTTAAATCCTCTCTTTAGCATTTCACTCATCTTTAAAGTACTTTCCAAAAACTTTGCTATTTGTTTTAACATTTTGTGCCAGACAATTTTCATAAGTTTTTTTTTTTGATTTTCCAGAAGTTCTGTAAGTTTTCCATCGTGCCCTTCAGTTTAAACTTAGTGTTTATTTTTCATCTTATTCAAGCTATTCCTAGTGGTGTCCCAGTTGTGTACTATTTTGTTTAGTATAATAATGATACACTGATCTGATGCTACAGAATACTAGTGGACTTCACTTCAATAAATAGTGCTTGTGTTTTGCTAGCTGAAGTATTTCGCCAGACATTTCAAAGCCTCCAGAATGTTCAGCTTCAAGTTCTCTACCCATCACTGAATTTTTCAGCATTTGACTGTCCACTTGAAGGTGACCTAACTGACCTTAACTTGAAGGGTGTCAACTGGGTGTTTTTGTCAATTAACCGATATGAAAGGAAAAAGAATCTTGGGCTAGCCATTCAAGCTTTAGGTAGTAATGTTTTTAACTAAATCATTAGTTAATGTTTCTTTCTGTACATATGTTTGACTATTATTATTAGACCTAATGTTAAGTAATATTTGACTATTGTTGGGCCTAATTGTTTAGGTAACATTTGACTGTTATTGTTGGGCCTCATTTTTAAGGTAACATGTACAGTAAGATTTGGACCTATTTTGTTGATTATACTATAATAATATATAAGATTTATATTTTTTAATTAAAATTTTAAATGCAATTCTGAACTGGAAATTTATTCAAATTTCTAAAGCTAGTAATAAGAGGGTTTTCCATGGTGAGAAATGTAATGCTGTAAGAATATCTTATGTTATAGTGCATACAAGCTGAGGTGTCTGTCCTTTGTCCGGGTTATGAACTTAAAAAAAATGTGTGGGTGGATGCTATGATAAATAACACAAAAATCCTAACTTTCACACAATGTATTTATAACATAACATGTGATTACAGTACTTATTATAACCTCACCAGAAGTTTTCTATAAGGTTTAAAAACTCAATATGTATATACATGTACTTACAACATGGTATACACTGTGTGATGGTCAGGGTGACTTTGTATTAAGAGATAATGGCAAAAATAGTGGCAGTAGGGGTGCTTTCTGTTACCCGCTTTCAACACTCAACTCTTAATGTCCTTCCACAGTGTTTCACATTATTAATTAATATACAGTTAATGGCCACAGAAGTGTCTTACTGGACAAAGTTGAAAGGTCATGGGTCAAAGTAGGAAGTTGGTATAACTCAAAAAACTGCTCTTCATGTCAGCGTTATGGTGGCTGTTGGATTAGAAACTTCAGCTGAGTTTGTGTATTATTGCAGTTTTTTTCATTGCATTCTTTTGTAGAGTGTGCTAGCACACTCTCTCAGATATATATAAGATGTTTGTGTGCCCTCCTCCTACATTTTGTATATGTTGTTATAGAAAATTTAATATTTTTTGTGTAATGGTGTGGAATCATACATGAATGTAGTTAAAATTAACTTATGCCAAAGATAAATAAATACTCAATAACAGCAATAATGGGGTGCTGGAGGGGTTGTTAAACCCATTTTAACATGTCCCTTATTCCAAGATATCCCACAAAGTTTAGTTGAGATTGGCCCAGTGACCTAGGAGTAGTCAGATAATGGAAAACAGACTTTATATATTTATGAAACTTTTGTAGGATGTTTGATATGTCTGTTAGTAGAACATTTTTACAGGCTATCTAAGATGTTTATAATTGACTCATTTCATCAACAATAGACCACAATTTTATAAATTCAAGCAACTTTGATTTGTGTTGGATGTTGCTCGGGTCATAAGGTATAAATTATTTTGTAGTGGGGCTAAACTGAATACATTTTGTAGTGTGTTAAAATTATTGTGCAGTTTAGTATTTTGATATTAGATTAAAGAACACAAACTTATAAGATCTTTGTTTTTGTTAACAGGTAAACTTCGGAGCATTTTGACACCTGATGTGGGAAAACAGGTGCATCTCATCATGGCTGGTGGGTATGACGATCGAGTGAAGGAAAATCTTGAGGTTTTTATGGAACTGCAGCAATTAGGAGAGGACTTAGGACTTACAGAATCTCTTAGTTTCTTAAAATCACCTTCAGATAAACTAAAGCACTTATTACTTCACAGTTGTACAGCTGTTCTTTACACTCCAGAAAATGAACACTTTGGAATAGTTCCATTGGAGGCAATGTACATGTCAAGACCTGTGATTGCAGCCAATAGCGGAGGACCTCTAGAGACTGTCATTGATGGTGAAACAGGATTTTTGTGTCCACCCCATCCTGAAAACTTTGCAACAGCCATGGAAAAGTATGTAAAAGATCGCAGTTTAGCAAGAGAAATGGGCGAAAATGGGAAAAATCATGTCAGACAACACTTTTCATTCCAGCATTTTGTGGAACAACTTTCTAGAGCTGTATCGAAATAAGAATCAAGAAAAAAAAGTACTATACATTTTCCAAGCTCTGTTGAAATACAGATGATCTTACTGTACTTGGTTGTTTCTGTATTAATAGCAAATGTAATTTTGAATTATATAGAATCAGAAAATAACTCATACTTCACATTAATCACTTTTATTTTTAAAGGTATGTGTAAACCGTAAGAACTGCAACTTTATAGGCTTTCTACTGTGTATGTATATATAGCTTAACAACTTTTGCAGAAAGTAATAAATTAAAAATAAAATAAGTGGAGTTTTAATTACCCTGTAAATTCATCATGCACATAATCACAACCCATGGATTATTTGCAGAGTGGGAGCAATCTATCTATAAAGACTAACCAACAGGTAAAAAAGGATATATCAACTAATTAATAAGAGAACTAGGCTATTTTGGCTTGTTTATGTAACAATGGAGCAAACCAAGTTCATTTGTGGAAATGGGCACTACAATGAACAAGACCTGGTTTGAGGATCTGAAACGCATGAACAATAGATCTGTTTTTCTGACCCACCCCATCTTTTTAAAGTGATTGGTAATTGGCTGCGAGATACAGGGTTTCAACTAACTTATCAGTTCAGAGTCTTTGAAAACTTAAAACTGAATGAACATGAGGTTAAAATCTGTCACTAACTGACTGACAGGCAAAATATATATATTGTGAAAAACTTAGCATCAAAATGTTAGATTGGCTGCAGAGTTGTTGTCTCATATATCTGCAACTGTTCTTCGGCGTGACAAACTTGGTTCAGATTTTAACTAGGATAATTATATCAAGATCATCAATGATTTGATGAACACTTGGATAATAATCCAAAAGTGGCTTTCTTGATGAGGAAAATTGTAACAAAATGTATGATCCAATTAAATCAGTGAGGTGCTGTGGAAAAAGTATCCAGTGTTTTCAAAAAGCACTTGTAACCATCGGACCACTACAGTTCCTGTTAACAGATGTCAAGAAAAGTGTATGTGGTATATTTTAAACCTCACGTGCAACCAAGATGTACTGGAGAATATTTTCTATAATTGCCTACAAGAGGAGGAATAAATGATCATCCAACTTCATTTAATGCACTGTACAAGCAAATAATTATCATTCTAGGAAACAGTCCAGGACTGGTGCTAGGTAGCACAAACTGTGCAACATCAGATAATGATGATTATGTTACTGCAAAACGTATTAAGAATTTGTGAACCCAAGCCCACCATCACATATAATTCAAATAGTCTGGTAACAGCAATTGATGATACACTCAACAATATGGCAAAAGAAAATATGCCAAACAGAGAAATCTGTTATAACTCTTCAATATTTACTGAAATAGAATTCGGTGGTGTGTAATATTTAGTTTGAGAGTTTCGAAGAAACACAAAGATGCACATCAAAAATTCAGGGACCATGTTTACAAGACAGAGTCAAAGGATCACAATTATTCCTTGACATCGTGGGAACAATAACTTTCCTATGGCAGACATACTAAATTTCCGCACGAATGACTGGAATCAACGGAAAAACTGAACACAGCCTTTACTTGACATCGTGCGATAGCTAGAAACGTAAAAACTGAACACAGCCTTTATTTGACATCACGGAACAGACAGAAACGTAAAAACTGAATACGGCCTTTACTTCACATCATGTGACAGAGAGAAACATAAAACTGAATTCGGCCTTTACTTCACGTCATGTGACAGACAGAAACATAAAACTAAACACAGTCTTTACTTGACATCACGGAACAGATAGAAACGTAAAAACTGAACACAAACTTTTCTCGGCATCACGGAACAGACAAAAAAACTGAATACAGCCTTTACTTGACATCGTGTGACAGACAGAAGCGTAAAAACTGAATACAGCCTTTAATCGGCATCACGGAACAGACAGAAACGTAAAAACTGAACACAGACTTTACTCATCATCATGGAGTAGGTAGAAACGTAAAAACTTAAGCATTGGGAGTTTTGATGAAAGAGGTAATTGTTTGGAAAGCGTATGTTAACTGCATCTTTCTGAAAGAATTTTTAACAAAATTTTTGAAAAATGCCAAGGCTTAAGTCTTCGTAATTTTGTGGAAAATAACTTTTATTGAAACACGCAGAAAAGTGCGTAATTTAATCCAAAATTAAATGTGAAGTCTCAGAGTACGTATATTTCTTAGGAAAAAAAAATCACCAAGCTTGAACATTAGGAGTATAACTAGCGAATTCGTAGGCGTATGGTCCACATTTACTGCTATAATGCAAATTTAATTTATTTAACCAAGTTACGAACGGTAATTAGTAGGCCTACTATTTATGAGCTTTAATGTAAAACAATGCCGCTTTTGGGGAATCCCCGTAAAAGTGTTTTCGCGAAATACCAGTGTTCCATAATAGGATGGGTGAAAAGTTTACCTTTGTGCATACCTCGGGGCCAAGATGATTCGTTTGGCACCATTTTGAAGTCGGTAGGACCAGAGGTTTAGGAGGAGTTACGTGACATACACACACATAGTGAATTTTATTATACAGATGAAAACTCTTGCGAAGTTTAAACAGGAGTTTTCTCCTATTCAGGATGAAAAGTGAATTTAAATTTGGAAAAAGCGTACCGAACTATTATAATTAGCAATATTTATTTAAAACTAATCTTAACGTGGTTTATCTTTTCTTGAAAATTAAAGTAAAATCGAAGTCATACGGAATTTCCACGTCATATTACGATTAAGCTTCGGGAGTTTGATGAAAGTAAGTTTTTTTTTTTGTTTAAAGCATACATTAAGTGCATCTTTCAACAGAACAACACGAAAAAGAATTTTGAAAACTACCAAGGGTTACGCCTTGGTTATTTCGATGTAAAATTACTTTTTGAAAACGTAAAAAACGTGCGTATTTTGATGCAAAATAAATTGTGAAATCTCAGATTCTTTATACTTTTTAAAAAATCACCAAGCCTTGTATCGTAGGAGTAAAATGAAGAGAAAAATGTATATATATACACAGCGTGGCCACAAGTAAATAGACACCACCTTTTCAGAAAAAATGAAAATTTTCAGTCATATTCA